TATCAGCGTGCACACAGCTGGCTCTCCAAATGGTTCTCTCTGTTCTCGCTATGTATTTCACCTATAGATGTAACCTTGTTAGTCCCTACCTCTGAAACTTTCAGCTGTGTCAAACTATGTTCACGTCTCTTTTCTTTTAACAGCATGCCTTTCTTACAAAATTGCTGTACTTGCTTTTCTCATTTCGTGTCGTCAGCTGGGAGATCTGCCCCAGCCCTCAACTTACCTGTCAGTTTTGGATATTTTTTTCTTTACATTTTATCTGATTTTTCTTTTCAGATGTGGAGCATGTCTTCTCTAAACCTAAATGGCCTTCAACAATCAATGTTTCAATGGTCCCTAATGTGATGGGGCCATTCTCCTCGCAGACAGCGAGCTGTTCAGGTTACTTGTAGCTCCTTGGAGAGGACTGTCCGATTACAGAAAACCCAGAATCCATAATGAGTAGTAGAAATGGCTTCAGATCATTTTTCTGAGTGAATACAATTGTTTAGACTTTAGATTGTTCTCAGCATCCCACAGCAACTCATCTCCAGGGAAGAAAGGTGCCTCCTTGCGCCCTAGGTCCTGTATCTCCTCCACCCAGCCTCTGAGATCAAGAAGGACCTTACAGATTACTTAAAGTCTCTGGTGATAATCAGGTGGCATTGTCATTGGAGACCACCTTCTGGTCTCTCACAGTGAGCCCAGTTCTCATTGTTGTGGCAGCATACATAAGGACGAGCTGGTGTCTCCGTGCCTCCTCTCTTTTGCGGAGCCTCTCAAAATGCCTGGAGTCTGTGATGAACCAGAACTAGCATCAGCTCAGCCTTGTACTCTCCACGCTCCCAGCCCTATGAGGGCCTACACTGTCCGCTGGAGGATGAGGTGTCTCAAGACTGGGTGGTCAAAGCCAGTCCTGAGCACTGAGCAGGTTTTACAGTTCATAAACTGGGGATGTATTGTAGTTATATAATATCTGAGTGAATAAGGGGAAAAAAAATAATCCCCCTTGGCTCAGATCAACTTTACAGAGTTTTTCAGAGCTACCCTGGACTTGCACCAGATTTTTCCTCTTACTGACTTGTATTTAACACCAGGGGAGGAAAACACTACCCTTGCAAAACTCATCCATCCAAGCCTTTGAGAAATGGTCCATATGGCAATGTGTACGTGTGCTACACCTGATGCCAGATACCATATGCGTGGTAAGAAAACACAGTTTTAATTGTGTACTTTCCTGAGGAATAGCAAGCGTGATGATTTATTGGGCATCCTATCACACAGCAGTAGCAGAAAACAGGCATTCAAGGTTAGCTTCGCAGGCATTTCCTTCCTGGCTACAGAACCTGCTCTTATAATCTAAGATGTCCAAAGTAGATTACGTACATATTGTTATGTGTATCAGTAAGTCTAGTTAAGAGATCTTCTGAAAAACCGATCAGGAATGGCCCTGGACATGAGGCACTCTCATGTTTATGTTTATTTTACTTCAACTATCATTTTTTTCCCATCTTTAATCAAAGATCTTGTCTGACACAACCTTATGCTGATGGACTGGTGCTAACAATCCTTCCAGATTTCTTTCTCTCCAATACAGTCTAAGTCTTTTGGCTCTATGGCCAGAAAATCCATCCAGGCATGTTCCTGATGTCTTGATAGGTCCATAAAATGCACGTGGTGCACAGAAGGGCAGAGCGAGGTGTGGTTACCCCAGGCTCTGAGACATGACGGCAACAAACACTGAGAAAACTGAGTTGTCTCCTGAAACTCATCTTCATTCACTGATGTCTTCATACACAATTTTTTCTCCCTGCTGCTTATGAATATCCTTTTTTGAGCTGGATGTGCATGCAATGTAACATAAATACGCTTACATATACTTATGCACATATCTTTCACGTAACACGATTTATGTTCTCCCACACAGCTGTGGGAAATCTCTAGAACTAAAAACAAGCTGAAGAAGATGAAATACTGTGCAGGCAAGTAGGAAAGATGAAATGTGGTATCTATGTATTCCCTAAGAAAAATATTTATCTCTAGTATTTACTAAAAGCTTTCTTTTGTGAGCCGGATGCGGAATTTCTGGGGACATGAGGGTTTAAAAACGACTTAAATTTAGTATTTTCAAAAGTGCATGTGAGTTGCATAAAACACGTGGGGTTTACGGAACTATAAAAATGTATGCATAGCTTGCAGCATAAATTAGGTTAATAGCTCACCGTAAGATCCCTACAAATTCAAGGAATTACTGTGGGAACTCCCACCAAGTTCCCCACCAGCGGTGCTGATGCACATGAGCTGCAGTGATCCGTTGTGCTGCCCTCCCCACCCGCAACAACACCCCGATGCTGGCTGCTGGCAGCGCCCGAGCACGCCTTTTCTTTCCTTGCAGGTCTTGACCCTCCTGACATACTTTCAGCCAGCCAGCCAGCTGCTTGCCAGGCCTGGGCCACGGCTGCCCGTGCCGTGGCAGAGTTGTGCCCAGCACGTCAGCCTGCCGCTTCTGTCAGCTCAGGGCGCGGCTGTGGTGACCTTGGCTGAGCTGAGCTCCGTCCCTTGGAGGTGGCAGAGCAGCGCCAGAAGCACAGCTCCAAGCCAGGCATCGTTAAGAAAGCAAAAGCTGAGAGGCAGGAAACTATGTTATTGCCTGATGTGCTATGTTTGCATCAAAACAAAAGCTTAAAGCAGAGAGCGTTTATTTTAACTTAACTCCAAACCACAAATAAATATTAGGAAATTCTGGGGACTTGGAAATACTTTTTTTTCTTTTTTCCATATTGATGCTGGGAATTGGGATAGGATACATCATAAATAATTCCCAGGTGCATAGAGTGTACCCAGGGAAGGACTGACATTGAAGAACATTACAATCTCATAATTCAATAGTAACTTTTAACCTGACACACAGAAGAATTTTACATTTTATATCATTTCTTTGGTACCAGAATCAAAGCAGAAGCCTCGTTGGACAGCCTCTCCTCTACCCAGGCAGATGCTGCTGTGCAGGCAGGGGCTTTGCATCCTTCGCTGCTGCTCAAAGCAACAGTAAATAAAATTTTCCTAGAAATTGATTTAGCCTGGCCAAAGCGGGGCAGGACGAGGGCCACAACGTGAACAGTAATAGCTGGGTTGTTTGTGGAAGGGTTTTTTTGTCATTTATTCCTACAAACAACATGGGAGAGAAAAAAATTCATTCTTATGCAATTTCTCGTATCCCATAAATTATTTCATTGCATTTTATGAATGTTCACTTCAATTCACAGTAATTTTCCAATTTCAGTCTTATCTTTCTACTTTATATAACCAGTGCTTACTTGGGCTTTTCCCCGTGACAGGCATGGTATATTGCAGTTCTTAATGAGTGCTATCTTGCTAAGCGATTCACTGGTATAATTGATGTTTTGAACCTTGCATGCTTCAAAACATTAATCCGTGAACAGATAAGCAAATGAAATTCACTGCCATGATGGACATGCATGTACTACTTCTGCTTAGTTCTCACTACCCAGTTTAGACTGTTGTCATTGCTCCAGAAGTTGCGAAGTTATTAACAGTCAATTAAAAGCTTGTCTGTCTGGGAAAACACTTGCAGCAAGTCTTTTTAACCTCTAGGCCTGTAATTTCCAGTGTCTGTAGTCATGACTGCTATGATATATTCTTTTAAGATAAAAATTATATTTAACATTTTTTGGTTTATATGAGGTGAATGTGAGGAATCTAAAACAATTGATTTGCTCCCCACCTGGAGCACGCTGCTCAAAAGACTTAGAAAGATGAGCTTTGAACCAAGGAGCAGTTTTCATCTGAAGGATGTATCAAAGTGTTCACTGCAAGGTGGGAGCCATGACAGGGAAAAGCTGGGAGGTGCTGGGATTTAGAAAAAGACAAAAATTTCTGTGTGTGCTATGGCTCCATGTCAAGTGGAGATAAATTAGCTTTTGAATCATATAACTGTTCTTGCTCTCTAAAACAATTAATGTTTTCAGTTACGGTGCTCTAAGGAGTTATATACACAAATATTTCAGTTTGGTCTTTGGGTTGTTTTACAGCAGACGGGCCTCTGCCTGTTTTCACAAGTGCTCACACTGACTAAATGTATTTCTGAACGCTGAGGATATAATTTCCTGCATTTGGGTTGCTTGGGAAAGGAGACTTATGATTTAATTTTAAATTAATATGATGACATTTATTGAAGTTTATTAATGAAGTTTGTTAGGGCACAGTATGTAAGCACCCAGTGGTGTGGTGAGCAAGACTGAAAGGGATTTTTCCCTGGAGGCAGGATGTGGGGTGACCCACCCATTTTGCACCCATGGCCACCCATTAGAGGTGGTCAGCCACTGGTTCTCTCCAGGACACCTCTGGCTTTGGCAGCTCTCGGGGTACAAGGGGCCTGAGCCCTCCAGTGATGAGGTTTATCATCCTTATATATCTATATGCAGCTGGTTGATGTATAGCTACAAGGTCAGCTGGTCCCTGAAAAGCAAGGGGTGCCTGTGACGGGAAGGTGGTGCTGGGGCCACTGGCAGCAAGGGAGGATCGGCTGCACAGCTAGGCTGTTTGTCCCTTTTGCCCTGATCCCTGGCTTTGGTTCTGATTCCTGGGGCGGGGCATTGGGGGGTGGGGTGGGGGGGGTGTCTCCCATAAGCCCTAATGGTTGCTGAAACTCTTAAGCCAAGAGTTTGACCCAGGAGCACACCTTATGTTCTGTGAAGCCCATCAGGTGCAGAGCTGCATTAGCACATTGCTCTCATGGGTCTGGAGGCTGCTGAGCTCGGCTGTGGGGCACGGTAGGTGAGGACCCTTGGCCAGCCCCAGGAGCTCAGTGGGGATTGCAGCCTGGCTTAGAGCTGAGGTTTCTGAGCAAGAGCTGTAGAGGCCGCCTGGCTTCCCTTGGACGTGTGTTATCTGCAGCACTGAGCAAAGCTCTCCAGCTGCTGTTTAGATGTCATTGAACGTTCAGGTGTTTTGTTCTCTGCTTCCAGTGATTTCTTTCTCCGATTATTTCATTTCAGCAAAACCCTTTGAGAGCGGACAGTACCTGGACATCTATGGAATTACAAGAGACCAGGCTGGGGAATATGAATGCAGTGCAGAAAATGATGTCTCAGTCCCAGATGTGAGAAAAGTAAAAGTCACAGTAAACTGTAAGTCATGTTGCTTTTTATTCACTAAATGCAATGGAGAAGAGGGATGTGGCTGAGAAGAAAAGTCTAATGCAAAGAACTGCTGCTTGTGGTGAAATTGTAGTTTGTTGGGGTTTTGTGTTACAGCAGCAAAATGACCTGTGCGGTTTGATGTATGAGTTAGCCTTGTCAGAGGAAGGTAAAACCAGCTTAAGGTTCAAATCCTCCTTTTGTCTTCTGGGGGACAATAGCACTGGCATACTGTCATAAGCTTTATAGCAGGTGCTCTTGCTGGGCTGTGATGTTGAGGTGGAGTTTTTGGAGTAATTTTTTGAGTAATTTTCTGAGTAACCCTGATGACTGCTGTGGTTGTTGAGCCGAGGTGTTTCTGATTTAATTTCCCATGGTTGTGCAAATACAAGATGAGAAACTTTCAAAATTTGTTGGACGCTTAGCTGGTGATCAGTCTCTGTGGAAATTTGAGGTGCTCCCAGTAGAGGCAGCAAGTTGTTTCGTGCGGTTGCCCTGGTGCGAAGGCAAGGAGGACCTGGCTGCTGCACAGTTCTGCTGTGGTGATCTCTGTGGATGCTAGGTCACACCGGGAACCACCAAGGCAGCCTGTTACCTGTCCCGGCAGTCTGTCGGGTCTAACCACCTGAGATTTTCACACCAAGGAGGTGTTTCCACCTTGGGACTGAATTTGGTTTAGCATTTGGTATGGTGTGAAGCATTCAGAACAAGGTTGTTTCTCCCTCCAAGATGTTAAAAAAAATATTTAAAGAAAATGAGAATAATTACTTTTACTCTGGATTTTCTTAGGTTAAGCGCAATTACACAGCTTGTAATTTGTAATGGTTTCTGGCCTGAAAATTGCTGTGGCATCTTTATTGGCCACAAAGTTTTGAGACGTCAGCTTTGTGTCCCCCACAAGAGCTATTGTCCCTGTTGGTGAGCCCCTTGTCCCCAGGTTGCTGCAAAGCCGGAGGTGGGAGCGGGGAAGGTGGGTTGCTGTGGACGGGATGCTGATGGGGCTAACTGGGCGTTTATGGGCTGTTCCCATGTTCAAAAGTGGACCCAGTGCTCCTTGTTTACGTGACAATGGGATACTCGTTCTGTACATCCTGGAACATGGTGGGTCAATGTACTAATGCTTATAGAATAGCCTGATCGTGCACAGGCAACAGGTCTCACAGGCAACCTTCTGTACTGCCTGGTCCCGCAGGTGAGTGATGCTGGCTGCAGGTCCTGTTTTCCCTCTGCTCCTCAGGCTTCCACACTGAGGCTGCGGTATAACATGCCATGACCGTTAGTCCTTGCTTTACAAGCCACAAGAGCAGGTGTCAACCACAGAGCAGATTCATGTGGAGTCCGTCGCTGCTCTCACTGCTGCTTTGCCCTCATTAACATGTTTCCACCTACATCAGCTTTGCTGAATTCCCAAAAGCAAGCAGTGCACTAAATCTACAGGCTCTGTGGGAGCAAACACCACAGTGGGTGGTGTCCCATGGAACAAGTGACCCTTATTTTTTGTGCAGTATGTTACTGGAAGATTGTCTGTAAGAGCAATTGTGCAGTTATTAGCAGAGGCATGTCCTGGGTGTTTTGGGGTGACACCTTTCACACAAGCTGTACTTCAAAATGGCCTGTGGTTTTAAATTAATAACTTGCAACAGGGAGCAGAAAGAATGGTGAGCTCAGTCTAATTTCAGGAAAACAAATATTGCATCTGTGTTACTAAAATCCCCATGATATGAAACAAAGGTGGATTTGGCTGTCTCAGGAGCATACTAAGTGCTTATAGAAAGGGAAAAGTTGGTAAGTCTGCTTAGTGTTAGGTCTTTTTAAAATTAAAACAAAAAAAGCTCACAGTAAATGTGGTTAACTCATGGAATCTCTGTTGCCTTTGAGCCAGGATCTAGGTGTGCATGAGTCCTAGTTTGGATAAAAGCATCAGCTTAGCTGGCCAAAGCCAAAACTCAAGTTTAAATGAGATGTGAGGCTGACATGCTAGTTGGTGTGTGCCCTGCACCCTGAGTTGTGTCAAAGCCAGAACTATTTCTGACCTCAGTTCGCTGTTTTCTTAACATGAGTTTTGAGTCTGTCAGATGCATTCGTGGGTGTGAAAGATCAACTCTGACAGTGTCAGGAAGGTAAAGCTGAGCAGCGGTGGTTTGTTCCTGCACCAGCTAGCACTGCTGGGTCTGCACGTCCAGCAAAGGTCTCGCTACAGCAGCTGGGAGTGGGACCAATGACTCCAGCAGCAGCAGCTGGGTTGCAGGTGGGATGGAACTTGCTCTCCCTGAACAGGGAGCCAAAGGAGCAATGGGAGAAACTGTGTGTCTATGTTGAAGGATGTGCAGGCTCAGGAGGTCCTGCTCCTCTTCGGTCCATACCACAATCAAGAGGTGCTCTGGTGGGACTGCAGCACATGGTTTAAGGGTACCTCTGTCTGCAGTGAGAAATGTGTTACGGACTGATAAATCAGCCAATAAATACAAGTGTCCAAGCTTTCTTGTCCTGATTCGGTAACCTGGGCTAAGCTGGAAGTGTCCTTGGCCGTATTGTGGATGCACGTGGCATTATGTCAGATTCAGGCAAACTTCTAAGTCTGTACTGGGGATGTGCAGAGTATTTATTTTTTTTTTTTTTATTACTTCTTGCAACTGAAGAAAAAAATGGAGGGAGAGGAAAACAAAACTGAAGCAATGTAAAACTAGGATCTGTCTACAGCATTAAACAGTTTGCATACATGAATGACTTGTCGTAGTCAGCTAATTGCTAACACACTTCTGTTTGGATTCGTACGCTGTCCCCTAGCCAGTTAAGCACAATGCAAAATCTCTCTGAACATCTGCTCCCTGATGCTGATGCTCATCTGTTCTGACCAGGCAGAAAAATGGCTCATTCTGTTCAGGAGAGGGTCGCGCCAGAGCTTGGCGATGCTGGGGGCGGTCGCCCTGCCGTGATCAGCCCCCCATGGTGAGTGGGACGTGCTGTGGTGGTGGATGCTCTTGGGGTGAGCTTCACTTCCCGGCACCTCGGTGTGGGCAGCCCTGTTCAAAAAGGGATGTTGTGCAATCAAACTGGCAGGACGATGCCCGTTTGCTGTCTGCCGAGCTGGCCTGGCAGGGCAGCTTTCTGTCAATAAGAGCTAAATATTTCATTCAGGAGAGCTGTGGTTTGTCTACTAGTCACTATTTATAAGAAATCTGTGTCAAATTTATTTTTGAGTTTAAATCTGGAAAGGTCTTTAGTAAAGAAATACAGAAGAAGAGTGGAAGCCTTCAGGTCCTCTTGTTACCCTGGGCTGGGCAGGGTTTCCTCAGTCAAATGTTCTTCAGCCCTGTTTCTTCTTTTAAGATGTCTGTTCATTTGTCTAACAAACTAATAAAGGGTGTCTCCCTGCACCCCCAAAAAAAAATCCCATTTTTTATTTTCTCTGGGTTTGCAAGCTCATTTAATTCTCCTGCTGCCACCCCCACGTGGGCTCAGCACCAGCTCTTCAGCCTTTATTGCTTCTTACCCCCCTGGTGTTGTTTGGTGATTGAACTTCTGGTGCAGGGATGTTGTGCCCGTCTGCTAGGTACCCCCACCATGGCTTTAACACCACTAGCTGTGACTTGGTTCCTCAGTGAGCATCACTGTAGCCATGACCAGTGCACCAAACTCTCCTCCTTTAGTTTTACAGGGATCCTGTAATTCCACAAAATGTCCATCACCTTTCCCACCTGTAGTGCTTATGATAGGAAATACTCTTGGAAGTAACGTGTGCAGCTTATGCTTCAGCTCCTGCTTTTGCACCCTTACGGTCTAATGGGGTATGAATGGCCGCGTGCTGCAGAAGCATCGCTTCATCTCAGGTCATCTCTGTGTCCCTCCACCATGTCTTGTACAGTGGCGTCTTGACATATGATCTCCAGCACACAGAATGATGACGGTACAGCACTACATTTGCATGAATATGATCGCTTCACCTCTGCTTCTGACAATTTCTAATACTGTTTCACTGTTATTAAAAGGAATGTTCTTTACTGCAGACCTGATAACTGTAGAATAAATCAAGGTTTTATTGTGCCCCATTAATAGGATGTATCAGTGAGCCCTGAGCAGTTACAGAGGATATAAGCATAATTTTGAATATGGATATTCATCGCATATAGCGGTTGTTCAGTCATCCAAGCATGTACAAGAAAATTACCAGGTTTAAATTACTTTCTGAATTTCAAGTTTCTTGGCTGGGCAACTTTCAACCATACATAAACAACCAGCTTGCTATCTGCCTTACAGCACATATATTATAACTCTAATGACTTTACAGTGTTGTTTTCTTTCTTTATGCTGCTTTATATTGCATAATCTACGTTTTCTACTTAATTTATGTCTGTCCTCCGTAATTTCTCTGTTAAGAAAAAATGGTGGCCAGAGAATCTGTGGTGCATTTGCCTGAATTCTGAGGGATGGGGGAGAAACTGGAGCTGCTGTTTTATGAAGAAGGAATACTATATCAAATCAAGTTAAAATAGATAAGATATAATCCAATTTCATTTCACAAGTAAATCTTATTAGCATTTTCCATTACATTTTATAAAGCAAATACTGATTTATAGATGATAATATTGAACCCCACTTTGAACCAACCAGTGTCTGGATTAGCGAGACTTTAATATGTCATCTGAAAGCTGCTCTGAAACTGTCCATGTGGTACTGTAGCATTGCTGACTCTCTTCTGGTTTATCAGTGCCATACTTAAAAAATATTAAAGGCAGCTGCTAAGTGTGAGAATCTCTGGAAGTGTTGAGGCCATGCTGAGATGATGAAGAAGGGGATGCGTGCATCAGGAAACTGGCTTTTATTTTAATTTATATAGAAGTGTCACTACCTAAATAAA